CGGAGCTCTAAGGATACGAGGTTTAAAGCTTAAGGCTTTGGCTTTAGGTCTTTGGATGTATTGCTCTGGATTTATTTCGGTCGCGGGCCTCGGGTTCAGGACTGTGGGTTGTAATGCGCTGGTACTCGCATACCGTCCCACCCAGGAACAGTCTGTAATGCGATTATTATTAGTGGCTGTAAATAAGTATTTCGAGAAAGCTGGGGGTCCCCTTACTGAAGTTATCGCAGTAAGGCTTACATTATATCATGGTCTCTATTGTTGCCCGCCCTCCCTATTTGTTGGAAGCCATCATGTTTTTAGTGTTCGGAACAGGAAATGCTTAATCAATTCCTGTGTGCACGCTGGCTCTACATCCTAAACCTCACAATGAGAATGACTGCAGAGAAGTGCATTGTGGACCGGAACCATAAGCCCTAAGGGTCAAGTATGCCATGGGTTGGGTCCCTGTACATAGCTATAAAAGCTTTCGTTAACAAGGGATCCTTAGGGCAAGGGAAGCAAAAAGGATCCGTCCGGGATCATACGGCCGTTCTTTTCAGAATGCCTGGTTTGGTAATTAGATCAGCCAGTGGTCTTCACATAATTTGATTTTCCGGTCAAAGATCAAGACATATGAGCGGTGTACATTGGACGAGAATCACAAGCTCCAGACCATAAACTTAAACCCCAAACCCTGAACCCTAAACCGCATGCCTTCATCCCGAATCCTTGCATTGTCATACCCCCTACGGACCCCCATATCCCCTTGTCGAGAAGGACAATCGTTTTGCAGGCCCTTTGCTCGGATTCCATATTAGTTTGGGGAAGGGTAAGTGTCTACACCTTTGATTCGCCGGCGTTGCGTCTTTAGTTTGTCTTTTCACTGAAGGGAACCTTTAAAGCATATGGCTTTTGCAAAATGATTGTACTGGAGCTTGCCGCTCAACTCTTCAATTCTCTATCCCTATATACCGTTCAACGAGACCCAATTGCTGAGTCTTCGTTGAAGTGTACCCCTGTCGAAATTCGATCTGCACGGGCAGCCAGGGGCAGCAACATCAGAGTTTATGCATCTGAAGTGACATAGGTTTATCAGGATATATAGGAAGTATATTGGGGTGTATGGAAATGTGTAGGGCTTTAGTAAGGGTCCATGTATGCAAATAACAGGGCTTTAGGTCCCAAATACTATAATCTGAATGGCTTTCGGTGCCCAAGAGTCAATTTTGTTATCTTGACCTTCATGGCTACCCCATACCTCCTTCAAAACAACATGGAACCCCATGTAGTCCTCGACAGTCATGGTTTCGATCTAAAGCATCTTAGCGATCTTAGCGTGACCTCCGGGCCCCTACACCCCGTTCCAAAGGATCCTTGTCACCCCTAAAGCCCAAACCTTAAATCCTAAACCCTAAACCTATCTAAAAGGACCTTTTGGGAATTCTTTGAGGCTGCCTGTAGATTGCGGGATATAGGGTTGTATATGGGCGTAATGGAAAAGAAAGCGGAAACTACTGGTCTATGCCTTGGGGTTTAGGGCTTATAGGGTTGAGGGTTAGGGGCAGCTCATGGCCACTGTGGGGACAAGAGCTTGATCAAAGACCATACAGTAGAATTATCCTCGGGCCCTGAGGGAGTTATATAGGAAAGCTTTAAATCTTCATGCGTATACGGTGTACCTACATGAACCTAATGGACTTCTTTAATTATCGTGTACTTACCCGCATACCCAAGTCCTGTACCTAGAACTTGCTAGTCTCAAAATCCGTATCTTGTCGTTGGGTACTTGGACATTTTGGCCACCATCTGTTCGAACATTTTGGCCCCTTTACATCTTGCCTCTTCCCTGCTGTCCGCCCAGTGGCTGCATTGTGTCACAGGATCCAAGATGACCATGTTTACTAGCACCTTGATACAGCCCCTTTGAGGATGTGACCCTCCAAGTTGATTTCTTCGGAGGGCACTTCTGAATTGCGTGGCCGGCCTTAAATCGACCTCGCTTTCGGTTTAGGGTTTAGCGTTGAGCCTCTGAACCTTTAAAACCCCCAGTCCCACGAAACAAAAGGGACGCACAAGCCTTTGAATCCTTTCCATGATGATCGGAACAAGGCTGGGTTAGGGGCGTATGGCAAAGGATGGCAAGCAATGGCCGGGCCGGACACGCAAGCACTTTGCTGTTGCATGTTTTGACATATTGCGTTCTACAACCTTCGACCTGAGACCCTGACCCTCAGACCCCAAACCCTAATCCAAAAACATTGGACTGAGTTCCAAGCCCTGAACTCCAACCCTCAGACCCGCCCTAAACCCTAAACCAGACCCAGCAATGCATCTTGGATCCAGCTTGTGGAGGTGGTGGCGCCCAAATTAGTTCTCGAAAAGATGTCCATGATGCAGGATTCAGGGGGACTTAGTAAGGATACTTGTAGCCAATTACAATCCATGGATTAACCCCGTTATCCCCTTGCTTACCCTACTTGCGAAATCCCTGAGGGTGTAAGTTCTAGAGCTTCGGGGCTGAGGTTTTAGGGTTTAGGATTCAAACTTCAGGTTTGGGTTTTAGGGAGGCTGGGACTTTGGCAAGGAAATGTCTTGAGTCTTGGTTGGAGAAGGGTTGCTTCGGCGCACACATATTAAGTGACAGTGCCACCTGTCCATGTCTTTTCGTGTCTGCCTGAATACATGCTGAGCATCCTAGTAGTTCAGCAAGGTTTGTAGATCCTTAAGACCATCGACAACTGCACAAGATTGTGCAGGTTTGGCTTCAGACAAAGGGAGAACCAGTTTTGGGGAGTTGTCCAGCAATTGCCTGCTCGTGGATTCAGACAACTGTCCAAAACTGTCAACCTGTCCTGACCGTTCTGTACAGTGCCCAAACTGGTTGGGAGAGATGGGTTTCTTCGGCATGGGTTGGAGGTTGGAATTGGTGTTAAAATTAACAGCTTCATGAACCCTCAGGCCACAGTGGTCCATACCGCTATTTTCCTGACTAGGCTTCCGCATGTTCGGATGGTAAAACAATTGCGGCAGACTGAGGGCACAAGCACAAAGAATCCTAAGTATCTATACAGTACAAAGTGCAGCTTCTATACTGGGAATTGGTGACATGGTTTGGGCTAGTATCCACTATGCGGTTACTTAGGATCCCTTTGGGAAGGGAGACCAAGATATACCCCAAACCCGAAATCCTAAGCCGCATGCCCTATCCCTGAGTCCTACACCCTAAGGCCTGAACCCAAAACTCTAAACCCTAAACCACATACCCTAAACCCTAACCCGCTTGTACCCTAAAGCATTTACCAAGATAAACGGTCAGGCCGGGGAGGCAAATCCGTTGTCCGCCAGCAGGCCAGCGAAACTGTGAATGGGAGCGGGTTTCCCTCAGGCTCCGAACTCCAAACCCTAAACCCCTAGCCGACAGCCTTAAACCATGCATGCATCAGGTTGACGACGCTCCGGTTTGTTCCGGAGGACCTACAATTTGACATCATGGTACAACACTGGATTGAGGGTGGAGGGTTTAGGGACCTTACTACAGTATACTATAGCACCATAAGTCCCAAGGCATAGAGGTCATGCATGACTTTTTGTAGCCACCGTGCTTTGGTTCCTTTCAACACGGCATTTTCGCATTACTGTGATGTCAACGGCCCTGTAGACTATCAGCCGTAAGCCTTGCGTTGCGCCCGCACTCAAGAAGACACTCGACCCCTCAAAAAAAGATCATAGTATAGTTGGGTCTACATTGAGGTTGCCCTATCTGCGTGAACGACCACGTGCCCAAATATTCAGGCTTTAGGTACCCATGACGATGGTAACATTTGGATCTGGAGCCATCGTCTATGGATCCTTGGGCTTTTCTGGCTCTCAAAGCCCACAAGGGCTTACTCCCGAAACGTCATGCACCTTCGAGTCTCAGGATTTGACTGTGACCTCAGCATTTTCTTCAGAGCTTTGGGTTTTGCTTCTACAGGTAGGCCTTCAATGGCAAGTCATGGAATTGTTGCTTGACCTCCAATGAGATCCCAGATTCCTTTCAGGCAGGGCACCACGAGATGCATTCTAAAAAGCTAGTTCCGTAAACCTTGCACCCAACGCTCCAAGACAGCGCATCCAGCCGTGGATTTTAATCACATACCCAGCTGCTCAGGACGCGATTGAGATGTGCATGCCTCTTCCTTTTAGGAGGGGTTCTTTGGGCGGAAGTCCCAACAAGGGTTTTATAATGGTTTATATAAGCATACTCATGTACATATTGGTATACATGTGTATGGATATGTATACATGTGCAGAGTTGTCTTTGTCTCATGAAGCGCACGGTGGTCACGATGTTGCCAGCTCGGGTAGTCCAAGCACGGAGAAGGTGGCAAAGGCTGTCAGGTTTCCGCATGTAGGCCAGTTCATCCTCTAAACATGTGCATGCCAGCTGTTCTCTGACACGGTATCCAGCGAACTGCACGTGGCTACATTGCACTCACCAGTGAGGATTTCAAAAACGACCATGCCAAGCCAGCGATGGAAGCACCAACTGCCGTGCTGAAAAAGGATGAAGGAAACGCTGCACTACGTGCTGGCAACCTGGATGAGGCGCTGAGATTGTACGGCTGCACGGCTCATAGGGACCCCTCATGTTTGACCATGGTACTGGTGCAGGACCGTTGGCCCATAGGATGAAACTTCAGGACTGTTCTAGAGGTCCACAGAAACAGTTTCACATTCCTAGAAAAACAGCTGAAGCTGCAAAGCATTGCCTGTGTAGATGAAGCTAATACAAATAGAACAGCCCCTAAGCCACCAAACCCAAACCGTGTTGTGTGGTTCCATGGAGAACAAAACCAAGGTGAGGGTCTTGAGCTGGAACCCGATAGCACGGCATTGTTGTGCAATCGCACCCTGGCCTGGCTGCAGGCTCGGCAAGCCTATTATGATTATCACTTGTTTACTGTGATTGCTACATGTGCTACCATTTTTGCTTTTCTACTATTTTTAGTACTATAATCCTCCTGTAACTTTTGTAGGCACAGCACCCCGTCAATGCGGAGAGGGATGCGCGACAATGCCTGCGGTTGGATATCCAAAACCAAAAGGCTCACTATCGGCTGGCGCTTGCTCTGCTTGGAACGGGCAAGACCGAATCCGCCTCGCAATGTGCGTCTCAGGCGGTGCTCTTGTTTCCAGAGAATGTGGACATCAGGAAGCTACAGGGTAAGCTTTCAGTTCTACTCTCTCTGGAAACACGGTTTAACGAAATTCATGAGATCGTGATGTCAGAGCAGCGTGGAGGCAACTTCAACCAAGCCGGGCAGCTGCTACAAGAAGTATTCGCAACGATCCCAGATTTTTTGCATGTGCGTCCTCCGCTTCAGGCGGAAGCCCTCGAAGCGATGGCTACAAATTTCTCCTTCATGCAGCAGTTTGACATAGCTGAAGAGATGTACCTTCAAGCAATTGAAATATTCAAGTCAGCAGGGTCAGGCCAGCAAATCTCTTTGAGCAAGGCCATGGGAAATCTCGCTTCCGTGTATCTTGGGGGAGGATCCAGGGAAAATGCCTTGCCTTTGCTGCAACAAGTGGTTGAGATGCGGAAGCGGCTTTATGGCGACATGCACAGTGAGGTTGCCAAGGCACTCAACAATTTGGGCGAGTACTATCGACAGATGGAAGACTTCTCCAATGGTTCACGTTGCCTGCAAGAAGCTCAGGCACTTCATGCAGAGCTGTCTGGCAAAGCTGACAGCATGTATTGCCAAACTACATATTGCCTTGCGCGTTTGCATGCGCGCTTCCAACACTTCGATGAAGCTGAGGCAATGCTTCTGGAATGCATTTTGCATGTGAAGCAGTTACCCCATTCGCAACATAAGGCGGCTGCAGATTGCTTGATTGTTCTGGCCGAAACATATGTGAGCTGTGGTCGGTTGCCGGAGGCATGGCGGTCTTGTGATGAAGCCATTAGTATCACGAGACGGCTGCTCCCAAAAGCTCACCCAGAGCTCGCCAGAACACTTCATTGTGTTGGGCAGTTTTACATCACCTGCAAGGACTATGTCAAAGCAGAGCCTCTCATTCGTGAGTCGCTCCAAATCAGACAAGAGGTCTTCGGGGAGATGTCTTACCCCGCGTCGAAGAGCTTAGTCAGTCTGGCAGCCATCCTCTATGAGATGGGCAATAGCGGACGTTCGATTGCGTTGCTGGAGCAGGCTGTCAAGATCCAAACGGGCGTTTCCAGTGAAAGCCATCCAGAGGTGATCACTTCCCTCAACAACCTCGCGGACATGTACTGCGGTAACCCGGATACGCTTGAGCAAGGTTTAGCACTCTATGCCCGTATCAACAAGCTCATGTCAGCCTCTCCGCTGGGCCCCAAGATCATCGCTGAAGTGTATAGTCTGGAAGGCCAGTCGTTCGCTCGTATCGGAATGTTGGACACAGCCCGGGAGTGCTTTGAAGCAGCCCTCAAAGCACGCCGACGTGAAGGGAATCCTGCAGGATTAGCTGAAGCCTTGCAAAATCTGGGCGTCTTGCTGTCGACCCCACCAGTTTCTTTGCCACACGTTGAGAGTCTCTCTTTCGCCAACACGGAGGACAAAATGATTCAGCTCAAGCTTGAGCGAGGCGTGGTCAACCACTACGTTGATGATGTGTTCCAACAAACTGTCCAAGATTTTGACATCGATGTTGCGCAAGGCATCTACACAGGGCTGGGCGCAAAGGGCGTTATCCGAGGGGACGAAGATGTGCTAGACCTTGCTGCCCAGAAGGACAGTCTGCTCACCATGGCATATTTCTGTCAACATGACCAGGTGGAGTGCGATGGATGTGGAATGACCCCAATCATTGGGAGGCGGTATAAATGCCGAGCTTGTCCAAATTTTGACCTTTGCCAGCAGTGCTTTGACCAAAAGGATAAAGTGCACACTGCATCGCACGATTTCCGCATCATCGCCAATGTTCACGAAGGGGTCTTGAACATGCAGGCCGCGGAGGCCTGCATGGCTGAAGCATATGCACTTAACAAGTCACATTACGGAGACCAGCATCCTGTTACCGCAGGCACAGTGGTAGGGCTGTCTGCGGTTCGTGGCATCTTGCGCAAGCATCAGGATGCCTTTGATTCATTGTCACAAGTGACCGATGTGCGCGACAGAATGCTGGACGCAGTGATTGAGAACAGTGCTGAATCAAGGAGATTCTCATTCTTTCAGCTTATCCGCCAAGACATGGATGTGGCAATCTCACTCGCCTTGGCACTGGGAACAACTGCTTGTCAAGCTTTTGCTTTCCAGCTGGTTCTTCGGCGCAAAGGAGTCGTTTTTGAATCTCAAATGTCAGAACGGTCCGGTGTGTCAGTAGGTTCCCAGGAGCTCTTTCACGAGCTGACTGTCTTGAGATCAAGACTAGCTGCAGAAGTACTTGGTCGTTTTGATCCCACAGCCATGGCCTTTTTGAACGAGAAAATTGAGAGCCTCGAGTCTCGCATGGACGTTCGCTGCAGGTCCCAACTAACTGTGGAGACAACTCAGGCTGCTCTTCCGCTCGGCTGCGTGTTGCTGGAATTTGTCAAGTATGCCCATATTGAGACTCGTTAGTCCAACAGTGTTCCATTTTAGTCTGTGTGAAACGTTCGTGATTTTTGCATAAGGGCAAATGTAAGTGGGTTTTAGTGCTTATTGGAGAAGTGAGGAGATGTCCCAGGATGAGGGCGGCAAGAGGTCTTGGAGATATGCAGTCTTTGTATTGCAGCACGAAGGGCCCGCGAGTGTGGAGCTTCATGATGTTGGAGCTGCGGGTGACATTGAGGCCGACATCAATGCGTCTCTCGTTTGGCCAAACATCGTTTGCTGTCTTTGCTCTTTAATTTAGACGACGTCTACGTTCTACGGTTTTCAGTGCTTAATGATAGGTTCCATGCTGCTTGCATAGAAAACTTTACTTAAGTCGATTTTTGGTTGTTCAGAAAAACAAGGTTTCGAAAGTTCTTCAGGAGGTCATGTGGTTTGCGGTTGGTGAAGCAGCTTTTGGGTCACATCAGCCTGAAGCATTGGCAGCATGTTTTCATAGGCCTGGACGGCGAAGTTTCAAGACTGCCCATCAAGTGCTTGCCTGACCCAATGGAGCCAGGACAGCTCCTCTTGGACCGAAACTTCACATATAGTTTCATCACGAGCGGTCGTGACTTGTCGCTGATGCAGAGAGCTGCGCAATTTGAGCCGACGGAGTCCGTCATCCTTTGCAATCCAGATTTTCAACTTCAAGGAACAGTCGCCGGCAGTGACACAGGCGTCATGCGACTGGCGACGTGGTCAAGACTTCGAGCCGTTGAAGGGAACTGTGTTGGAAGGGTTGTGCGTGCAGGATGCACTGGCCAGTTCTGGTGCCATAAAGTTGGAAGGGCAACAAGCCACTGTCTCAGCATTGAAGGCTGTGCATTCACCACGCGTCCTGCACATTGCCACGCATGGGTTTTTCCTGCCTACCCAGACAGAGCCGAGTGACCGCTTGGAGCACAGATTGGTCAAAATGGAAAACCCATTCCTGCGTTCAGGGCTTGCGCTGGCAGGTGCTCGAGCCTGGCAAGAGGTTGAAGGAAATTCCACTGAAGACGCGGCATCAGGAATTTTCACAGCGCAGGATGCACGCGGGCTCGACCTGAGAGGAACACGCCTTGTGGTACTGTCCGCTTGTGAAACAGGCCTCGGTGACACACCTTGCGGTCAAGGCGTGCAAGGCTTGGCATCGGCATGCTTGGCTGCGGGAGCCCGCTGCGTGATCATGAGTCTGTGGAAGGTTCCAGATACCGACACACAAGCGCTCATGAAAGCGTTTTATGGAGGTCTTCGCTGTGGGAAATCGATTGCATGCGCCCTGCAAGCTGCGCAGAGAGAGCTTCGACAGCCTGCAAGCTATTCTCGTTGGGGAGCCTTCGTGATCCTGGGCTGGCCCTTTGATTCACCGCTTGCTGATCTGTAGGAAGCTGACGACGTACAAAAAGATGGCGTCCTCAGATGTTCATATTCGTTGTGAGTTCCACTGTGAACAAGTGGCAACAAAGATCACCGCAACAGGTGCCAGCAGAGGCACCACCACCAGCACCATCTTCCAATGTCGTACTTCTAGCAGTACTACTGGGGCACAGGCCGACTCCCCCATGCCAGCGGGCTGCCAATGAGCTGCTGGATGCCGAGGTGCTGTTGCTCCAAGGGATGTAGGCCTCGGTCCTGCATCAAAGGGTGACGATATGCGGGATGTAGGGTTGAAGGGTTAGCATCTTTGGATTTGCCACATACAGCTTTCAACAGGTTACATTCCCCCCTAAGAATGAAACAGGTTTCCCCTAGATTACTAGACGATCCTCTCACTGATGTCTCCCTTTAGGGTGCATGTGTTGCGGTGAGGCTCAGTGCTATCCATCGGTATCAACCCTTGCTGTTGGGTGCTCCTCCTACAGAATTCTTTGGGGTCCCAGAGCTCTTCAGCACCACAGATCTCAGAAGCCCTGTCATGCCAGAACAGGAGGATTCCTTCAGAATTCTGGACTTCTTTTAGACGTCTTGGGTCGCTGATTGACAATGGGGGGAGCTCAGGAGCCCCAGGTATACATGGGATGCTGACAGGATGGACGTGGTCCCGCAAGTTGGTGATTATCTAAATTCTCGAAAGTGTCATTATGAAATTCCAGCATGTGAAAGGCATTTGAAGTTCAGTCACAGCCTTTTCGCGATGTTTGTCATTGCTCAATGCAACTGCAGCCGTCATGCGCGGGCCCAAGATACAAACCCTGACGCCATGCATGATACCAAGCCTCATCTGAACCTACACTGCCCAGACATCAGATCGCGTGATTGAAGGTGTTCGCAGTATATATTCCCGTGCAACTTGCGGTAACCACCGTTGAAGGATGTAGGCTAGTCCATCACACAAGTTGCAAACAGCTTCTGAGCAGTCTGCAGTTTGGCCCGCACTTAGCCTTACATGATGGGGTTGCAGCAGACACGAAACGACTGAAGGGCCAAAGCCTGCACCCTGGGGGTTCCCACTGCCCTCTAGGTTCCCCATGAAGGCCTGCGACCCTCACATCCCAACCGACCAACTCAGATATAGATTATTGAATATTATTGAAACTCAACTGGCACGCCGACTTGTAGTAGCAGCCCTGGACTCAGCCACTCGAGATTCCTCCATGCTACCAGCCGACGAGTTGTGGCATTTCCCAGGCGCCAGGGTCAAAGTTTGGGGGTTACTAGTGCCTGAATTTACCATGCGTTTTTTTGGCCTCGCATTTCATGAGTTTGCTGCGGTATGCTGCGGTATAGCATGGAAGTTGATGGGTGTGGGTTTCAGGCCTGCTCAGTGGTAAGCCTTCTGTTGCGCCTTCAGGGTATGGAGAGAGTCTCAGGTGCCCTTTCTGAGGTCGCGGAGTATACCTGATAGAGTGCCGCTTTGACTATTTACGTCAGGTATTCTTCAACTCAGGGAATGCTCCTCTCGTCTGACTCGGATATCTCATCCCCGAACCCTCAACCCTAGACCCGCAGTAATTTGCCTGAATGCGGCGTTTTGAGTCTCCTACCATGCTATCTCAGACGTATGCATGCCGGAGAGTGGTAGCAGCTTTCCCCTGGCCTGCTTATGAAAGCATTTCTTGGGCCTCAATATATGATGAACTTAGTAATTAAATGGTGGTTGTAAGGGTAGGAAGAGCCCTGCATAACAATCCTCCTGAAGATTGCCCCGTCAAGAAGTTGTTGCAGAAGCCCACGGGACGTATGAACAACTCGCTCTCTGTCCTCTAGCATGTAGGATGCAAAGCAGAAAGAAGCACCACGAAAGGGCCGTCCTGAAGGTACCTGGACCCTCCAAAGTAGTACCTCGCTTTGGGGGGGGAGGGTGTTTAGTAAGAACGACCCACCTCGACACTATACCAAACCCAAAAAGGAATCACATTCGAGGGTCCACCAGAACCTTCCTTGTACCCTTAATTGGGGATATATGGTCCCTAACAGTGGGTACTTAGGCCCTAATAGAGGGTAGGAGGAGGGTCTAGGCAGTTACCTTTTCGTGATTCAACCCCACAACTCTTCAGCCCACAGACGGGGTACTTTGATGATGTTGTGCCAGAGGCTACCAGTTGGACTCGACATGAAACACTGTTGCCGCAAAGGGGGATCCCCATTACAAAAAGAACCCCAGTATAATGACCCGTACTAGCATGACTTTCAGGGAATCCGCAAGTAAGTGTATGATTACCAGGTACTTGGACCTACGAGGATTTTTCTCATCTGCGGGCCCCAAGCCTGAACCTCTCACCACCAGAGCCGCCCCAATTGCCACCGTCAACCTTACACTTACACTCCGTTTTTTTGCGTCCCTACAACTTGCATAGCCCAAACCTCACTCCAGAGGTGTGGTCCTCACAGCAGTCCACCAAACATGTGTGCGGGATATGGGGAGCGACCTGCAAGTGTACTCAAGGTCCCAGGCCAAGCAGAAAGTTGGGAAACTCTTGGACGAGCATGCTGGGGTGTCCATTTACAGCTCCACGGCTCCACGGGGTGCAGAGCCAAATAATATACAGAGGATGGACAATAGAGGTATATCCTGAGCCACATGCTTAAAACCCTGTACCATGGCCCTGAGTCGTGGCTCCCTCCATGCAAAGCGCTTAAACCCGGCACCATAGCGGAGGATACTTCAAAAGTTTGCGTGCCCCCTAATACCCAAAATTCTTGGGAATTATGTTACTAAAGTATACAGATATCATGCAAAACCCTGGGAATTATGGTACTGCGGTATACGCATTTCATGCAGTATTTATAGTATCAGCAATGGGCTTGTCCCCCACACTTCGGCAAGGTTGATGCTGGGCCCAAAGAGAGGCCTAGCGGCCGGGGCCCAGGATGGGGGGTAGGATAATGGAAAAGAAAATGGAAACAACTATAGTATAGGGTTTATGATGTAGGGTTTAGGGTTTAGGATTTAGGGAGTTTAGGGTTCAGGATTTTGGGTTTGGGGTTCAGGGTTCACAGATTGGGCTTCGCACTTTGCCGAGGGGTACATGAGTTTTGAGAACTTACCCTTGAACCTCAAGAGATCGTGGAGCTCTTGTTACGTGTTGTGAGCCATCATGTTATATTTTTGGTGGTCTTGGTATGGAAAAGGGACCCCGTCTTCAGCTCAAAATCCCATTGCATTCCTGCTTTGAAGAAAGCAGCGAGGGGCTCCTTTTCAGGTTTTCAGTCTGATTCAGGAGGGTATCTTGCTTTGGCCTTGGCAGAAGTGAGGTTCGAGGTTTGGTTGGTTACTACATATACAGTAATCTATACAAGCACATGCATGTACCATTTGAGCCTAGCCAGTCTGCACATGTGAGTTCCTATGTTCAGCGATTATCCGCACATAGTTGGGGCATGTTGGGGCAAGGTTACACGTCAGCCAGTAAGACCTATGGTATTTTGGAAGAAAATTAAGAACCACACTTGGTTGAGCCATCGAGAATCGCTCTTCGATTGTGGCGGCAACGTCCTATACCTGAAAGAACCAAGTATCCACGCTTTTCAGCTTTGCAGATGCTCCAGGGCTTGAATTTCAATACGTTCATTGACATTGTCGCGGCATATTGCCGCTCCTGGCTGACAATTTCGGGACACAGTCTATTTCAATTGCCGCTCGAACGATTATTCTACGTTCCTTGCCTTTGGGCTTCCCAACATCTCCTGAAACCCTAAACCCTACACCTGAAACCCTAAACCCAGGTAGGCAGCAGCCGCGCTGCCGCAACCAAAGCTGCTGCGCCGCCACGTGCAGACCTGAGCTCTCCAGGTTAGGGTTTAGGGTTCAGGGTTTTAGGGAGGTTTATCAGGGATGTCATTGCTCTTCACGGTTGCCCGTATGATTGGTAGAGCGTAGCGCTTACTGCTGCGATTTGAAGCTGCAGACGTGGCCAAAACAAGGGAGCCTACAGTCAGGATAACGCAGACATGATTTGGTAGGTTCCTAAAACAGGAACACAATATACTTGTACCTTGTAGATGTTTTTTTCTGGCAGGGAGAGGACGGGGGAGGTGCACTTTGCTGCTTGCGATTGCGTGTCTGAGCTTTACTTACAGGTGCTCGAAAGGGAGCAGCGGAGGGAATATGGGTATCATTTTAAGCCTTTAAACTCTAAACCCTAAACCCTAACTGTAGGATGATTACAGGATCCACCTCTCGAGCCCCCCAATGAGGTGTTCGGATTTTGATATCGGCAGTCAAGCTTAGAGTTGCTTCAAGGCATCGTGCCCTGTTTACCTTAAGAACCCCTGATCTTATCTGGATTATGTGGGAGGTGCTCAAAACAGGGACGCCAGGGATACAGAGAGATTGCAAAGATGTGTAGAGAGGGCCACTTAGACATCATACAGGGCAATTCACTACCTTAACCAGTAAACTCCAACTTCTTAACACTGAACACCCTAGATTTAAGTCCCAGACCCTGAATATGCAAACCCCGCAGCAGAAAACTCTAGAAAACAAATTCCCACGTAATGTGTGAGCTCTGGAACGCGACTTCATGGACCCTCCTTTTGAAGCATATACTTTTTTGATTTTATTGGTAGGTCCGAGTAAGTTATAGTTTGTCATAGCAGGTTGTGAGCAGTAGCGAGATGTGATTGAAAATCGAGATGCAAGCTTGTGGTTGAGGCAGGTGGGGCCCTTGACTTAAGCGTTGGGGTAACACCATGTCCTAAACCTCCTTGAACCCTACACCCAAACCTGAGCAACTGTAGACCTAGATCCCCACCTACCTTGAATATCCGGTTTAGAAGACCGCGCCCAAACATGCCTTGAAGCCAATTCCAGCCCTCACCCTTTATCTAAACTGGCCTCGCCACCACACCCCCTGTCCCTAGATCCTACACCAAAGCCCTACCTCTAAACCTTGAATCCCATCCTCGGCTTTTAAGCCCATCCATTAAGACAGGGGGTGTGGA